AGTGTGACAAATATGCAAAACAGTAAGAAATCAGGAAGTACGATTAGGCAAATATTTTTTTAACATCACTATAAATGTAATTTGACTATACAGTACATGTAATTTCTGACTATTATCATTTCTGGTATTGGCAGCGCTGTGTTACAGCAGAGGCATTAAAATCTTCCTTCTTTCTTTCTGTAACCAGGTTCGACTTGGTGGAGTTGTTGCTGTCCCATGGAGCAGAGGTTAACTGTTATTTCAGAGTGATCAGCAACACGGTGTTCCCCACAGCACTGCAGTACTGCTTCAGAGACCACGTCATGCTGCGATTGCTGCTCAACAGTGGATATCACGCTTACAAGCACGTATACATGCTGTGAAATTAGTCGATATTCGATTTATTTACAGAGGATATGTAGTTCAGATTCATCAATTTCATGATCGGATTTCTGCAACCGTACAGGTGTTTCCAGTGCGGTCATGGTGACAGTGAAGAATTGGATAGTACCTGGACTGAGCTGCATAACCAAGCCTATCAGATTTACAGTCAACCTAAAGTCATCTCAGTAAGAGACACTACAGGCAGACACACAGAGCATCTGTTAGCTAACCTCTACCATATGTCACTTCCCTTTTCTTTTCTGTTTCAGTTCTGTGAGTTTGTGTCAGTATCATGCCTTGCTCACGTTGTGGGCAAAGTGGTAAGGATGCTACTGGACTACGTCAGCCATGTCAGCATTTGTTTTAAGCTCAGACAAATCCTGCAGAGGAGGCCGGAGTGGGAGGAGATTTCTGACATACTGGGTAAAACTGCAGAGACAAGTCTGTAGATAAGAAAAACGTGCAAAACATGCACTCTAAAGCCGAGAAAAACATGACATTTTGAAAAGTGATTTAAATAGCTGGAGGTTATGTGTGTTTCTGTGTCCAAAGGGAAGCCACGGTCTCTGCAGCACTTGTGTCGACTGGTAATCAGAAGTCACATGAGCCTCAGGACCTTGAATGACCCTGAAACTATGGCTGCTGGTCCCTTCCCCACAAGGCTGATGAACTACCTGACCTACAGAGAGTATGACCTGCATGGTGACCTGTTATCTGTGTGAAACATGTTTTATTTATACATGTGACTAAAGTGTGAAAACAGCCAAAGTACTCATTTAATGCAATACCTTATTTCAGTTGTTTTTTTACAGACTGAATTAAAAACCAAAAAATAAACATCTAGTATATGAAATAGATGTCCCTCACACAAGTGTTTCAGTTCATGCACGAGGAGAGCTGAGCAAGTGTGACCTGGTCCTGGACCTTTGCAGGGTGACGCGTGTTAACCCTTGGATGCACGAGTGACTGGACCCAACGTTCTTCCATAAGTGGGTCAAAAATGGCCTGTGTTAATTATGCCGTTTTGTTATTGTGATTAAAAATAATCATTTGTGTTATATTTTATACTATATTTTGGTTCAGACGAGAATGATTTGATGTCTGAAATTTTTTTTTTCACAGTTTGAAAAAAAATGGAAATGAAAAAAAAAAAATACAAACCGGCAACAGAACAATGTCAACATCCATTTTGTTTGTGTGTCAGTATTAGAGATACTTCCTCTCTTTTTATTTTCTTTGTCCTCCTGTCTGTATGAAGTTTTGACCTATTTCTGGCTGTAATCCCTTCACACAGGTACATTGATTTTGTCGCACCGACTGCTGACTTTATGATCTTCGTTACTTGGATCTGAAATCTTGTTGTCTTTGATTGGCTTTTTTTCCTGGGGCCCAGTTGTGGCTTTTGTCACTGTGATTGTGGTTTGCCGTTGGGAGCAACCTTCCAGCCGGCTTCTCATATGTGATGCAGCAAGCTCCTTTGAGAGCTCGGTGAGGACGACCCGTCTTGCAGTTGCGATACCAGATACCAATGTGAAGCTGTGGCCACCTCTGTGTTTTACACTGGCAGGTGTAGGTGCCAACAAACTGTAGAATGTGATTAATTGTGGGGTTTTTTCAATCCTTTCTGGTATTTTCCTCCATGCCGTACCGCTGAATGCAAACTCTGTGCTGTAAACCTCTTCAGAAGACACTGCACAGGATGCAACATTATCTGTGGTGATGTTGCGTCTTGTCTTTTTGAACCTAGTGCAAAACTGCTGGACCGGGATTTCCCTCAGATTCTGAACTTCTTCCCCTGACTGTCTCCCAATATAAACCCGTCCAGTTCTTGCATAGGGGATGCATGCATCACAGACTCAGAAGAACTTTTGGCTATGACAAGCTTGTTTGGCATCTACTGTAGAAATTTGAACCTCCCCCTGAACAGCACAAGCTGTTTGTCTACAGTGACACAAACACTCTAAATGGTAAATGTGTGCTGCCTGCTAGTTCTTGCTGTTTGAAATAATCTTCTTAATTTGTTACACTCTTTGCGTTCAATAAAATATATTTTCCTGACAGTCGCAGTTGACAATAATCAAAGGTTCCTATGAAATTCCATAGGAAATGATTACGGGTCATTTTTGGCCCACTTATGGAAGCTTGGGGTAGTAACACAAAAACTAAAACTTTGTACATGTATAAAAGGTAAGCTAAAAATGTCATTGGCGTAATATCAAAAACACTTTTTTAAGGAATAGTTGGAACATGAAATTATAACAACTTTTCATTAATTAGATATTGCAAGGAAAAGACCGCACCAGATCCTTTTTGACCCACTTATGTGTCTAAGGGTTAACAAAATCTCAAGCCCACATGGCCATTAAAGAGATGACGGGTAAACCTTGCATTTGTGTAAAAACACATAATTGTTTCATCCTTCTTTTTTAGTGTCTTGACAATCTGGTGTCTTAAAATGTAAACATAAAAGTCATAATATCAGTGAAATATAATAAACTGTGACATTTACAAAGTTGTGTAACCTCTGTGTCTTTATGATCTGATGACATCCAATTACCAAAGAATTAATTTATTGTTTTCTATTTGAGTTAATAGTCAGGAGTCTGTGCACAACCAAAAGAAATCAATTCTTGCAACTGATATTTTTAAAACCAAAATTTTTAAACAAACAGAGGTTTAGTATTAGTGGACATTAGTGAATGAAGAGACAGAATCCGTGGTGAGCACTCTACTGAATTTAAAGCCTGATTTCATGACCAGTAATACCCACTGTTCACCCCCTAACACAGTTTAATTTTCCTCTAGGTTTAAATTATTGGGAGGTATTGAAAGGCGGGATATGAGTATCTCAGATCCTGACCTGGTGGTTTAGCACTAACTGATGGGGTTATGTGTGAACTTTCACATTTCCCCCCCTTGTCAGTTTTTCTGACATTTCTGGTGATTGCTATTTTGGGAGTCTTTCTTTCTTATTAGTTTTATTAGTTGTTTGGTTTTGAATTCTCAGTTATTACTAGTGTTTTGAGTTTTCAGTCCTACTTATGTTTAAGTGCCATTTGTATTTGTTCCCTAAGTGTTATCTGTCTCGTCATCCACTGTCATTTCCCCTAGTTTTAGTTATTCATGTGTCTGCATTTCCTTTCCTATCACCATTCTCACTTTATTTTTATAGTCTTTTGTCTCTTGTATTCTTTTTCACTTCCTCCCCTGCCTTATAGTATTGATTGTATTGACCACTTGCTTGTTTGCCTTTCTTCCCTTCTTACATGGTATCTGTGTAAGTTTGCCTTTGTTACATCTTACTGTTTCCCTGCCTGCCTCTTCCATTGTGCGTTTCAGTTTCAGTATCACCCAATGTTTCAAGCCTAAACTTAAATAAAAGTGTTTTTGAGATAGAGGGTGGACATTATTACTCTTGAAATTGGAATTTAGTCCACAGAGGATCTTTTTTATTAACCACCTAGGTGTGGCATCCACATATGTGGACATCACATTTTGGGTTGTCTAGACCACAATACTAAATTTTGCTCTACAAGGGCCTGATATCCTCTTACGAGGACATTATACTGTCCCTGTTCTATCAAAATATAAAACAAATGTCCTCATATGTGGATATCAGGCCCTTGTAAAGCCAAATCAGGTAAAAAGATATTTCTTGGTTTTTACATTCATCAGATCCCAATCAGCCCAAATAGCAAAGAGAAATTGATGATATACACCCATCATTTTTTCCCCATTTATCCAGGGCCATGACTCTCTGAAACAGCTCACCAAGAAGGCACCCACTAGTCATAGCTAATTGTCCAAAGTACTTCAATTGGCTCCTATTGATGTCTAAGAACATCATCTTCCACATTGCAAGGGTCCTCCCCATGTCCCCAAGGGAGAGCCCAGCCACCTTTTGAAGGAATCTCAGTGGCCACTACCCAAAACTTGTGGCTAATAAAATATATGTAACATTTTAGGTCCCATTTCTTTGGTGGGTAAACCAACTAAAGTTGGCAGAATTCACTA